AAAGATGACTTTTAACATTTATGAAATGTGATCTTAATGATTAAAGTTTACCAGTACTATGCTCTACAAGTCTTCATGGTTCTGTCCAGTGAAGTCTCTCCACAACAGCAGACTATTATCCAATTTTCCAGTAGTATGCATTCACAAATAAGTAGCTACAAATCAGAGACCCAAAGTAAGATGTAAAGCACAAAAATATCTTAACCACTGACAAATGATTATAAAGTTGCAGCTATTTCTGTTTATTGCTTTGATATAGTACAAGGGGAGGAATATGTGTTGTTTTTCTTATTAACAATTTTAATTAGCATCTAATTGATTTTTAGGAAGATAAATGGTTTCATTACAACATCACATACTGAGCTGCTTGGCCAGCAAAGTTCTTGAGAATACTGCACAAACTAAAAGGTTCTATGTTTGATTATCATGTCCAACATCTATATTTACATAGTTAATCAGTGAAACTACCTTGTTCAGGCAGTCCATGGCATTTAACTTACTTTACCTTACATAGGCTTTGCAATTAATTAGAAGATAGAAAGTAAAGAAGAAGCCCTGCATTGATTTGCCTTCATTAAATGTATGTCTGACTGACATTTTTTCAGAATAATTTTTATGGAATGTTGGTCTTTATTTCATAAGTATCAAGTACATTTCCTTTAAAGAAGGTAGACATTCAGTGAATTAATTGGTAGTAGAGCAGAAAAAAGCACATGTATACATTAATTTAGACATATTAATCATGTTTTATACAAATTTAAATGGATTTCACAGAAGTTATGACACTCTATTGGTAAAGATACATCATATAACATTAACACTTATATTTTGTCTGCTGGGGAATATTTGGATATTTTCTCTCAATAAATTATCTCATTGTAAAGTATGGATTGCTACGTGTGTGTGTGTGTGTGTGAAGATTTAATTATTTATTTGAGAGTTACACAGAGAGAGAAGGAGAGGCAGTGTGAGGTCTTCCAACTGCTGGTTCACTCCCCAGTTGGCCACAAAGGCCGGAGCTGCGCCGATCCAAAGTCAGGAGCCAGGAGCTTCCTCTGGGTCTCCCACATGGGTGCAGGGTCCCAAAGTCTTGGGCCATCTTCTACTGCTTTCCCAGGCCATAGCAGAGAGCTGGATCAGAAGTGGAGCATCTGGGACTAGAACCGGTGTCCATATGGGATGCCAACACTGCATGCAGTGGCTCTACCGGCTATGCCACAGCACCAGCCCAGAGAGAGAGAGAGAGAGAGAGAGAGATTTATCTATATATATTCATCTATATATATTCAAAAGGTGTGAATAAGATTAAGGATCTTTATAAACCTTTAAGAGTAGAAGAGGAAGGCTGAAGAGTGGGTCAAAGGGATGAAGTGAATGAAGGAGTAGAGATTAAGAAAAGATGGGAGGGACTTGACCGCTACTTTGAAAGATAGAGGAAATGTTACATGAGCCTAGGGACGTGGGTGATTTCCACAAGTTGGCCTTTTTCCTCACGTGGCTGTGAAGGATGGTGGGAAGGGTCTGAAGCCTTCAGCAAGCAACTGGGTTCTTTTTTTAAAGATTTATTTATTTGAAAGATGTATTTATTATTTGAAAGAGTTACAGAGAGAAAGAGGTGGGGGAGAGGGAGGGGGAGAGAGAGTGGGAGGAGAGGGAGAGGGGGAGAGGGGGAATAGGGGTGAAGGAGAGGGAGAGGTCTTCCATCCACTTGTTCTTTCTCCAAATGATTGCAATGGGCAATGGTCAGGGCTTGGCCAGGCTGAAGCTGGGAGCTTCATCTGGATCTCCCACATGGGTGGCAGGGACCCAAACACTTTGAGTCACCATCTTCTGCTTTCCCAGGCACATTAGCAAGGAGATGGATTTGAAGTGGAATAGAAAAGATATGAACCACCACCCGTATGAGATGGCAGTGTTGCAGGTGGCAGCTTAACTGTGCCACAATGCTGGCCCCCAAGCAACTGGATTCTGTGAAATACCTGGAGGAACAGGGTTGGTTGCTTGGTGCAGCAGTTGAGCCACCCTGTGGGGTGCTTGCATTCCATATTGGAGTGTCCAGGTTCAGTCTGGTTATTTCCTTTCTATCCAGTGCCGTGCTATTGTGCACCCTGGGAGGCAGCAGTTGATTATTCAAGTACGTGGGTGCTCACCATTCTTGTGGGAAGTCTGATTGAAGTCTCTGGCTCCTGATTTCAGCCTGGCAATCCTTGGCTGTTACGAGTATTTAGGGAGTGAACCAGCAGATGAAAGATCCCTGTCTTCCCATCTCTGCCTCTCAGCCTCTCTGCCTTCCAAATAAAATGAAAATATTTCTGAATGAACAAGGAAATTACATTTTCCTAGAGCCTTCAAAAAATACTATAGCCATGCCTAGACCTTGATTTTAGGTGAAACTCAAGTTGAACATTCCAACACAGCTTTAAAATAATAAATTGGTGTTTTCTAAGCTGGGAAGTTTGTGGTAATTTGTTAAAACAGCAATAAAAAGTGAATATCAGTGTTCTATGGCTTAGCTTGATTTGACTCAGAATTTTTTCAAATTTTTGATGCCACAAAAGCAATACATATTCAGTAGAAATCATAGCTCTATTTTTGAGTTTTGATATCTTCTGAAGCTATTACCTATGTGATTTGATATTGGTTAGCATTATTGGGCAGCCCACAATCAGACACAATCTTATGAGGAGAAATAACCATAGAGGTGGACATTTACTATAGTGGCTAAAATGGCACTTGATTTGAGTCTCAGGTCTGCTTCTTGCTAATGTGCACTCTGGGAAACATAGGGTGTTTGGTCACATGGCTGAATGCCTGCCACCTGTGTGGGTAACCCAGATTGCATTCACAGCTTCTGATTTTGGTCTGGCCCAGTCCCAGCTCTTCCAAGCCTTTGGGGAGTGAACCAGCAAATAGAAGGTCTGTCTTTGTGTCTCTCTGCCTTTCAAAAAAATTAAAAGTAAATAAATAAACCAACAACACAGTTTAAGGTGTGATGAGATTCTGATGTTCAGTAGGTTGGGTTTGTTAAACGTAGTTTTGAGTTAAATGTTTTCAACAAATGATGTGTTTATGTATAACTTAAAGTTGAGGAATATCTGTATAGATATTTTTGAAAATCCTAGTGAAATATCATTTAACTAGCTGGACATATCCAGAAAACAGTGTACTGTCCCCTTTATACACATTTACACACAAACACACACAGCCACATTGGTCAACTGAATCATTTTCATAATTATTCTTCAGTTGTATGGATGAATGAAAAATAACTTGGTAAGTAAGAGTCATTTAAATTGCTGGTTTCATAAATGACTGACTCTATGATCTTAAGATACCCCATAGACAACAAAAAGTGATTGAATATTTCCCATTAGTATTATGAGAGGATAGCTATTTATATTGTATTATTGGATAACATTATTTTATATTGATCATTTCAGGCAAAAAAATGAGGTTCACAGCTTGACAAATTTGTCAATAATGTGTAGGCCAAGTCTACCTAAGTATAAAATCTTTTACAGTACCATTTTTCTCTTCAGGCATTATTGCAACCCTTATTCCATCTTTTCTCAGAAGTAAGCCTCAAGAGACGTGCACCTCCCAATGATGTTTATGTTTTGATGAATCAGGAACAATCCTATTAAAATGTCTGACTTTATAACATACAGAAGGAGCACAGTATCAAACATGATTTTTACATTTTAGACTTTATCAATAATTTCAAACATGACCCAAGAATTCAGCAACTCCACCCTCACATACTTCACTGGTATATAGAAAGCTGGATATATAACTACATGTGTCCTGTTAAAATGCATCATACTACATTCTAAGCTTTACGGAGATTAACAGAATATTGTGCCCTTAGCTCATAAATCAGCAACGTGTCTTGTTTCTATTCTTTGCCTTGGTGATAATTTGAAGCACGATTATATTCCATTTTATGGTTTCAAAGGTTTATTAAAGTTTTTTTGTAATTACAATAACATAAAGCATGATTTGAAACAAAATGTATAGATTTGATTGTGAGATATAATTTATATCATTTTGCAGTTTTAGGTAAGATTAGTCCTCATGATATCCAATTACAAAGGTATTTTCTCAAACGTTTGATGCAAAGTGATTTCACATGGGTTAAGTGTTTATAACAACATCAACAATTCTCAAGTATTATTTGGAGATCAGTGTACTAATGTTAGGAACAACGATTTTCAGGTTCGTTAGTTATTCTTTGACTTCCATCTGGGTTTTGGAAGATTGAGCAACAAATACCAATTCCTTGTAGTCATTTAATCCAATATTTATAAATTAATATTTATATGGAATTTAATATTTAAAATTAAAAATATAAATCCAATTATTTATAAATTCCACAACTATGTGTTAATTAGTTTTATATGCAACATATTGTACTATGAACTGAAGTGCTGAGTCATTTATTTCAGGTGTAACCCTAAGCACACAATTAAATTCCATAAGCCACAGCTTTCTCATTTACAAAATGGCAACAATGGACTTACTCTTGGAATATCAGGAGGAGTCAATGAAGTAATAGCGCAGTTAAATATGTTTATGAAAATTAATATAAAGTGCTTGAATAAAAGCTTGCATGGGATCTTGTCTCTTATTAAATTATGTTGAATTAGTTAAAAATTAAATGCTTACCTCAAATTCAAAATCTTATAGAGAGATAATAATACATGGAAATTCAGTATTGTATGAGCATCCTCGGTTGTTACATATTACTCTTATTACTCTTTTTGCTAATGATATTAATTTGCAAGTTATGTCCATTTGGAATGAAGAATTTTAAATTATATTTCCCAAGTTTTACTCCTTGCATTGCATTTCTATTCAACTTTCAATTTTCTCCTTAGGGAAAAACATTTGGTTATAACAAAGTGCTAGAATTTGTCAATTGTCCCTTCCTGATAAGGCAACAGATATCAACATCTTAACCAAACATATTTGAGTTCTTTATTTTATTTTGTTTTGTTCAGGCAACAGACCCAGATGCTGGAATAAATGGCCAAGTGCACTACAGTTTGGGCAACTTCAATAATCTTTTTCGCATCACATCAAATGGGAGTATTTACACAGCTGTAAAGCTAAACAGGGAAGTCAGGGATTACTATGAACTTGTTGTTGTGGCAACTGATGGAGCAGTCCACCCTCGTCATTCAACTCTGACCCTGGCCATCAAGGTTTTGGATATTGATGATAATAGTCCTGTATTCACCAATTCAACATACACTGTTGTTGTGGAAGAGAATCTGCCAGCTGGTACAACATTCCTTCAAATAGAGGTGAGTGAAAGAAGCACTGATTTCATGAATTCTACATTTTCAGATTTTCCATACAATATCTTTGCCAAATTTATTAAATAAAATTTCTTGGAACATAGGTAAATTTCAATTGCAGATAAACAACATGTTTTAACAGATCTCAATATTGTATATTATAGTTTATGTGACAACCATATTTTATTTATCTCAAAAAATAAGGGGAGAAGTGGTGTACTTTTAAGATAAAAACTGTTTTATCTTAATTTTTATCTTAATTTTTTAATTTACAGAAGTAATGCTATATATTTATTTTAATGATTAACAGTATAATAATATATAAAAATACTTATCTCCTACCTTATGCCTCCAAAGTACTTAGATATTATTTTATGTATATTATTCATTTCTCACTTTGGACTCACACAAATATCCTATATTTGAATTTTTATAAATATGCATATGGGTATGTGCATATATAACATATATATGCATGAACCCATATATGTGTATATGCTTCCTATATTTTACAGATATTGTTCACTCATTAATTTTTTAATATTATATTTCCATTTTCTTATGTTTACAGTGTTGATATACTACAAGGGTCTTCCAGGACTTCAATATCATTTTTAATAGCATCTAAATATTTAAGTCCCCTTTTCAGTTTTTAGCTAAAAACATAATATTATCAGGAAATTTAATATCTTGATTTAGTATGTTATCAGGTTATCCATAAATCTGTGTTTTTAAACATTTGCCCCATTTAATTCTTTTACAGATTGTCTATTAAATGTTTTTTTAGAAAAACAAAGGTATTTTCCTAATCTATCCTATAAAGCACAAATTTAAATTTGTTAGCATGATTTTCAAGAATTTATATTCCTTCCATTTTTCAAATCAGTAGATATTTGCTAAGGTTATTAATAATTCCAAATAAAGATGATGATGACCAGTGAGAGAACAATTATCTCTTCATTTATTCCTCCTTCTGTGCATTCATTCAACAAACACACATCTTCAGGGTATAATTGTATAACAGGTCCACTGCTCATCTTTGGAGATTTAAAGGTGAAGATGACAGATTCCTTGCTTTCATGCAGTTTTCATTCTGAGTCAGTTACTAGACTAGTTCTGAGTCAATTACTCAATAGTTAAAATAAACATCCTAAAATGGAGATACAAGGAATCTAGGAAGTCATAGGTAGAGCTCCTAAGCTAATCTTGAGGGCAAACTCAACAATAACTTGGGTAAGTTGGTTCTACATTGTGAACCGAGGGCCAAGTAAGAGTTACTGAAGCAAAACAGTGAAAAAAAAATCTGCTCAAAATCCTTGGTGAGAGGAGAGATTGCGGGGGACGGGGGTAAGAGCAAGAAAATGTCATGCTGCTTCTCACTGTGGTCAGCAGATCAAGCTTGATTGAAAAGGTAATTGGGAAACAAGATAAATTTTAGGCCAGAAAAGGACATAATGAAAATATCTGGCTTCACAAGCTCTTTTTCTGTAATGTCAGTGATTCACTGGAGGGGGCTGAGACTGAAGTTCACAGGAACGTTTTGTCATCAACGTTTTGACAAACCCTCAGCTTCCGCATCTTCATCATGCTTATTCCATTTCTCTACCTGAGTTACTTTGCCAGTCAGTACTGCCGAGTAATACATTCATTCCCCTTCCACAGGATCTTATCCTTTTTCCCAGAGGATGACATTCACAATTCAGAGTCCTTATAAATGACATCATTTATTTCTTCCTTATATTTTGGTATGTCAGTCTTGTTTATTCTCTAAGGACATAAACTGGAGGGCACAGACTGTGCATTGGTTCATCTCATTGCTCTCTATAAACAAAAGGATTTTATGAATGAAATATAGAATTGCTATTGGAAGAAATTTTTACTTACATTTTTAATAGCCCTTTAGTATTGCTCTGTTTATGGAAATCATCCAATAAAATTTATTTTTATATAAAATACCATTTTAATGATCACTGAACTAACAAAAATAATAAACATTTATGACATTTGTAACTGTGGTGTGATCCATTTAATTAGTAATATTTCAGTCAAAATCAAATAATAAAGTAAACATTGTCTAAATTATATGAGTCAATTTCTCTCTCTTTATCTTTTACTCCCTCTACATCTTTCCTCCCTCCCTTCTTCTCTGTTAAAAATTACTTAACAAAGATGCTTTTCTTTAATGATTTGTCTTTTGGTGATCTTTACACCCATGCTATTTATGTTATTCTAGGACATGATTGCCATCAGTCTTACATGTCTCTATTTTGGTAATGCCACTTATAGAACTATTCTACTTAACTTGTTACAGGCCAAAGATGTTGACCTTGGAGCAAATGTGTCTTATCGGATAAGAAGCCCAGAAGTGAAGCACTTTTTTGCACTACATCCATTTACAGGAGAACTATCACTTTTACGGAGTTTGGATTATGAAGCATTTCCAGACCAGGAAGCGACCATCACTTTTCTGGTGGAGGCTTTTGATATTTATGGAACAATGCCACCTGGTATTGCTACTGTCACAGTGGTAGTAAAGGTAAGGAATATAGATGACTTCAGATTGCTCGCTCCATGTGTAACTTTGATTTTTATAGGATACCTATCATATGTTGTGGCAATAATTCATGTTAGTATCATGCTACCAGACACAGAGCAAAGACATTCTTAATATGAAGTACGTGTGAAGATTTGAGAAATAATTATGCTTTTAGCTGTAAAAGATAAATTTGAAAGAGATTATCAATATGAATTTATAGACCATGGCTATATGGGCATGCCACTAGTCATATCACTCAGCCAAGTCGAAACTTCTTTAACCTACACATTTTTCCAAATTCCATAGCACCAGAGAAAAAAACCTCAATGTAAATTTTTAATTTAAACATTTTTAAAATAATCTGACTGAAAGGTAAAGAAATCTTGGTCTCTAGAACCAGTTAATTTGGTCTAGTTAGAAAACCCAAAATTTTGGCATGAAACAGGCTTCAGAATCAAATGGAATTGAGGTTATATTCTGGCTCAACCATTTTCAGAATTGATGATCTGTTAACTTATCTGAATTTATTACCTCATTTATTATAATATAATGCAAGATGACTGCCTGAAGGAACATAGCTTCTTTAATTTGGGAAATTCTAAGGAATGTCTTAAAAGTGGACATGAGAAAAAGTCATATATATACAGCAATTCAGCAATTCATAAATATTAGTGCACAGAAAGATCACTTGAGCTTCGTCCTAAACTTGTAGATTCTCCAAGGAAACACTTTTCCTTGAGGACAGTCGTGTATAGCAGAATTTTTGGAAAACCTGAATAATTTTATACTTCATTCAGAACATTAAGGAAAATACTTCTATCACAATATGCACATGTAAATAATTATTGGTTTACTTGATATCTGTTTCTTAGGTGATGTAAAGCAAAAGTGTTTTCATAATCATGGTATGTTGAAAAACATTTTCTTTGGGCAAGGAAGAGAATAGAAAGTTGAAAGTGTACTTTCTTGGTACTAAATAGTTAAAACATCAGAAGTAGACAAAAATATCCACAATAAGCAAGAGTGAGAGTGAGAGAAGAAGGAAAGATGGAGAGACAAAGAGAACGGACAGGAGAAAGAGGAAAGGTAAAGGAGACAAGAGCTTTGTATGATAAGTGAAACACTTGAAGCTTATGATGTTTCAACGTCTATGAATGAAATACATGAATATGAATAATTACACGAGTTAAAAACTTCACTTTAATATAGGTACTGTGGTTCACAATTTATTCATTTTGATTGCTAATATAATATACCTCAAATAATATATAATTGATGAGTATGGCTCTGAAACTTTCTCCTATTCCTGGCAGGAATACATCTGTACATTTCTAAAGTCATCAGGTAGCCAACAAGAGCAAGATGATATAAAATTCTTTGTTTTTTTAAGATTTGTTTATTTTTTTGTTCGAAAGGAAGAGTTATAGAGAAAGAGAGGGATTCAGAGAGCTTTTCCATCTGTTGGTTTACTCCCTAAATGACCCCAACTACCTGAGCTGGACCAGTGCAAAATCAGGAATTTCTTCTACATTCCCCACCTGGGTACAAGATCCCGAGCACTTGAACCATCCTCTGCAGCCTTCCTAGGACATTATTAGCAGGGAGCTGGATCAAAATGGAGCAGCTGGGACTCGAGCCAGTGCTCATATGGGATTTCAATGTCACAGGCAATGGCTTTACCTATTATCCCATCTCACTAGCCTCAATTTTTCGTGTGTGTGTGTGTGTGTATACACACATGTATGTATATATATATATATACACACATACACATACACACAGATATATTTAGAATTCTAGTGGCATGGAGACATCACAAAATCATAGACATCATGGGCTGAGGGAAAGGGAGGAGGGAGTTTGCTTTCTATTTTGAAACATTATTATTGTTAGTGTGTTATGCCATTTTGAAGTTTAGAAATCCCTTAATAAAAAATTATGGAATGTGATATTGGCTATGAAGATGTCATAATAGGTAAGCAGAAAATTTATCTCATCAAGGTAAAAATAATCTAAATGGAATAATTTTAGCAAAATGGCTTCTGTGCCAGGGGAAAAAACATAGGGCAACTTTCCCTGATGTATCCTTGACTATTCATATGGTTTGGTGGAATTGAACGCTTCCAACATAACAAACAGAAAGGTTATTAATGTACGGATAGTTTTTGAACAAAAAAGGGAAGAAAATACTTGATATTAATTACCTCCATCCATTTTCCCCCACATTCAAAGATTCATACCAAAATGACATGGCCTTCTCACTCAGGACAATGTGGTTGATAATGGTTAGATGTAAATACTCACAGATACTGGTTTGGCTGCTCTGCATTAAGTCTGGGTTCATTTTTTTGGCCTGATTTGATACAGGACATCAAATTGGATTCAAAAATCTCATCTGAAAAGCAAGATGTGTATGAAATAAGCCTTAATTCCGTGTCTGGGACTTAAGCCTCCTGAAAAGTTTTTCATGTTGCCAGCGCCCGCTTTTTAATGTAAGAATAATCACGTTAGGCTTACAGCAACATCTGAGAAAGATTTATTCACTAATAGTTTTCATTTAGTCCTTGGATATTGGAGGTTTTTGGTCTAATTTTTGTGGCCTCAGCTTCTTTCTCTTATTTAAAGAAGCCAAATCATTTCACTGGTCAAGGATGCCTGACCTATACATAGTGGTTTCTTATTTGTTGCACATTCAAAATAAAACTTATCATTTAATAACAAATATCAGTTCTTATTACTTTCCAAGTTGTTAGAAGCATAATAAAATTTCTGGGAAATTTCCCCCAAATCCGACTGTCTTCTGATATACTGTTTTTTTTTTTTTAATAACTTAGCTTGAACTTATCAGAAACAGAACTTAAAAGGTTCGTTAAATACCATTGATGCTTATAAAATTATCCTAGCTTGTTTTTAGGGAATAATGAAGAAAAATTCTTATTTCTCTGCAAATGTAGATCTTTCCCAAGCTTGCAAATTTTCTGCTACTGGTTTATTTACTTGTAATACTGACAAGCTGTTTTGCTGATAATATAATTGCATGATATTTGCTCAGAGATATTTGCACCCAAAACAGTCACCCAGGGGAAAGCATTTTCAAGATCTCTCTCTCTTAAAATGAGTAGAAACATAATTATTTTGTAGGGAAGAAGAAGAAAGAGAAAATAACAAGTATTTATGTCTAACTGATAAAAATTATCCTAAATTTGAGGAAGAGTGGGAAAATCAAAGAGTATTTGAAAAGAAAAATATGTCCAGGGCTGGTGCAGTGGCATAGCAGGTAAAGCTGCCACCTGCAATGCTGGCATCTCACATGGGCACTGGTTCAAGTCCCAGCTGCTCCACTTCTGCTCCAGCTCTCTGCTATGGCCTGAGAAAGCAGTAGAAGATGGCCCAAGTCCTTGGGCCCCTGCATTTGCATGGGAAACCCGGAAGAAGTTCCTGGCTCCATGCTCCAGCCTTTGCAACCATCTAGGGAGTGAACCAGCAGAAAGAAGACCTTTCTCTCTTTCTCCTCTCAATCTCTCTCTCTCTCTCTCTCTCTCTCTCTGTTTCTCTGCCTCTACTTCTCTGTAACTCTGCCTTTCAAATAAAATAATTTAATCTTTTTAAAAAAAAGAAAAAGTATGTCTGCAGAATAAACAATATACATGTATTAATGATGCCTGCAAAAACTCTCAGTGTTAAATTTCAGGAATCCAAAGTTGCAAAGACTTCACAGAACAATGATAAAAACAAAGTCATTTATAGTGTGTAATTTTATTGACTGCCTAGAATAATTGAAGCCATAAGGCTATTTGATAATTTGTATAATAGATAAATATCTAAAAATTAAAATAAAATTCTGAATAGTTTATGGAGGAAGAGCCAGTGTGAAATCTGACCTTACAAACTAAGTCATAATATATATCTGGTCTCCCAACATGAGTAACAACCTAGAAAACACACAGAAAGAATAGTTCTGTTCTCCCAAAAACTGAAAATTGAGTACAAATCACGAACACTGGTTGTGTAAATGTCTGTAATACTGGACAGCATTAAAAGGAGTATCTTGTCCCAGATAAACAGATGACCTAATTTATTTTGCTGATTGGACTGTTGAGTGAAATGGCTGCACAAGGGTGGTAGAGACAGAGAGACACATGTGACACACCTAGGAAGCAATGAGCCTGAACTCACCCTTGGTCATGTTGTCTGTATTAGAGTGTACCAGGCTGAGGGTGGGCAGGGAAAAGTGGAGAAACCCCAGTGGAAGACCATACTATAAGTTTTTTGTGAAAAACAGTCTTGAAAGATAGAACTAGCACTTCCTTGTTTTTCTTTCTTTTTTTTATTTATTATTTGTTTATTTGTCACAGTTGGGTGAGAGAGACAGACACAGAGAAAGAGAAGTCTTCCATCCATTGGTTGACTCCCCAGATGGCTGCAATGGCCAGGACCCCAGCCAGGCTGAAGCCAGGAGCCAGGATCTTCATCTGCGTTTCCCACATGGTTGGCAGGGACCTAAACACTTAAGCCATCTTCTGCTGCTTTCCCCAGGCCATTAGCAGAGAACTGGGTTGGAAGTAGAGTAGCTGGGACATGAACAGGCACTCATATTGGATGCCGCTGTTGTAGGCAGCAGCTTCATCCACTATGCCACAATGCTGACCCCACAGCTAGCACTTTCATCTTCAGAAGGGTTTTCTTCTTCAGAGAGCAAAGTGGTATTCTTACCCTTTAGCAGAGAAGGGTGAAGATAGTCTTTCTAGATAGAAACTCTATATTCAATACCAAGGTGGCATTTGGTAAACCATAGACTTGTAACATTCAGTGCCGTAGCTGCTTTGTTGTGGCAGAATTGGTGGAGTCTTGGTTTTGATTGCATCAGAGGAGTCATGGATTGGGAAACCAGGGAGCAGCCTAAGACTAAACAAAGTAGGTACTCAGGATATCTTTTAAATTAACAGCACCCTTCCTTTTCCTTTGCATAGGGAGGAACTTGAATAAAAGATGATTTTTGT